ATGCTTCCGAAGGTGGCATTGTCTTTATCTGATTGGGGCGGGACATTGGACCTGACGGTGGTGCCGCACCTGCAAGAGATGGGGATATCGCCTCTGGAGGCTTAGCCATGTCCCAAAGTCTTTGCTTGCAAAGGTTACCTTCAACTCCAGCCCAAGACCCAGCACTGGTAGCTTGCAAGGCCCAAGCGGCCCTAGCGATCTTTGGGGCTTCCTCGAACCTCGATCTGACGCGAATTCGGGCTCAGGTTCATCATCTGGGCTTGAAGTGCGACAGAGCCATTTTCCCATTGAGGACCTCGAAGTACACAGGCAGATTTCATATTGGCCGTCTGCTTGGTCCTTTCTGTAGGACCAAATCGTGGCAAATGGCGAGCTAGTTCGCGATGGACTCGTGCGGCCGCCTGGCTTTGGCGCTTTGGCGCTGCCACCGCAATGAACTTCTTTAACTTGTTTGCAGCTCCGCCTCGTTGCGGCACGTTGCGTCTTTGCTTCATCTTTGCTTCCAGGCCTCGGTCGAGGGGTTGGGAACGGTGGACATCTTGTTCGGCACGTACTACACGGTCTCTTTGCTTTGCACTAGCCATGCAGCCAGCTTCAGGGGATTGACGCATGTTACCTTTCTCTTTGAGAGAACGAACGCGAGTCGGACTGCGAAAGAGCGAAGCCTCGGAGGTGGTGCCAGCGGCCTGGTTTGGCTCTACACAAGTGTCGGCCTCTGATGCCGGCACATGCCGATGCCCATTTGCAGCCCTTCGCATTCTCTTGCAATCCCTTGTGGCCGAAGCTGGCTAGAAGAAGGTTGTGCATGTTGTCGTTGCCATCGATATCGACATGAAGCGTGTGCTGACAAGTCCTTGCCTCAGCTAGATGAGCTTCAAGACTGGGGGCAGCTACATGTAGTTGTTTGTGCTTGTGACTTGAGTGCCGCCCCAAGTGTCAGAGTTCGAAGTTCGAAGGCACGGTGATGCCAGTGACGCTGATGAATCTTCAGATGAATTCCCTGACCCACCAGCTGTATGGTGCAGGCTGGGAGTTCCATGCCTAGGCTTTGTCGAAGGATTCGAAGGTAGATCAGTGCAGCCAGGTGCAGACTTGACCGACCAGTACGCGTACTATCATTTGTGTCAGGATCTCGGGAGCGGGACAGACTGAGAAAGTCAACTGCGAATGTTCGCCATCTTGGCCGTGAGGTACAGCTGCCAACTTGACACAGACGGTTGGAGGAGTCACGACCATTCAGATCTTTGTTAGTCGGCAACTGATACGTTTCTATGCGACATCAGCTTGCATTCTGAGAGCTGATCAATGGCCGCAATACCGCGCTCAGGCTGCAATTTGGCAGAGCTGGGAGGCTTGCCTTCAGAGGCATTTGGAAGCATCAGGCCACCAAACCAATTCACCTGATACAACTGCCTTTCAGGTGAACTACATGTACTTGCAATCTGCGGCCATCGATCACCAGTACAACTACGTGCGGGTTTCAGCTCTGATTTTTGCACTTGGCTTGTGACTTGTGTTCGAGCTTTTGCATTCAGGGCGTGCTTTCCGTGTGCTGATATCGAGGCCTGGTTTACTTTCAAGGAGGAGCCCACGGGCGCTCCAAGGATCTTGGAGTACCAGCATGACAGCCACGAGCCTAGGTTCCTCCGGTCGGTTCCACCTGTCGGTTCCAAGTTTTTGCACGGAGACACCATTCTGACCTGTCATTTAGGCAAGGACTACGTACTGTGGCCACAGGACACAGCCTCAGCCACCACGTGTCCGAGAAGTTTTGCGTTTCGAGCTGCGCCTGCCACACCCAGGATAGTCTACCCGACAATGCCGTATTTTCTTCCCTCATCCAGACCGCTCCGAGGTTCGCTTGCTGTTGCAACATGTCAAATTGAAGCGTGTTTACATGTGTTTACCCAAATCCCATTGGAAGACTGGCAGGATCATCTTCGCATTGTACCCTCCAGCTCTGCAGTATGCCAGGTGCGGAGTACAAAGAATCAAAGGGTGAGATTGTGGGAGGGAGTGGGGAGGCGGGGTGAACTCAAGCTTTGAAGGTTCAATGCTGCTGGCACCAAGCTTTTCGTGTCCTTCGACACCGCTACACTGCGCCTGAGCCTGGGGTTTTAAAAGCTCCTCCAAGGTGTCCGTGTAGTCGAACCTTCGTTGAGCTTCAGGTGGTGCTGTCCCGGTTGACACGAATGGCGACGACATTCCGGACTTCTTTAACGAGGCTGACAAGGCATCGGCTTCCTGCAGCCCTTTTGAGAACACTTCGCTGTAATGTGCTGCAATGACTGTAATGTGCTGTAATGTGCTGTAGTCGTAATCAGCAACGAAGTAAAGCAGGCAACGCGTGGACCGTGTGATGACTTCATCGACCGCTTCACAATGATCTTGATCCCGGGGAGCACGCGGCCTGCTTACTTGTATGCATGAAGCTTCGCCCAGCTTCGCCCAGCTTCGCCCAGCTTCTCATCGCTGCTGCTTGAGTATCTTGAACCTGGCTGGATTTGCAAAATAAGGTGTCAGTGGACGACTGATGCCGACTTCTATATCGAAATTCAGCCTGCGTTCGAGACTTGTTGCTGAGGCTGTTTACACAAGTTTTGAATGGTGATGCGGGAAGTCTTGTCCCGAAGTTTCGCGCAGCAACCGCAGCAAGGTCAACCATTGCTCCAGGAGACCTTGCGCGCATCAAGCCCGGAACAGCTTCAGCCCAAGCTTTCTGACGCATGTGGCGGATGTGCAAAGCCATGGACTGCTCAGCCAGGTGTACAGGGGGCAGCAGCTCCCTTCTGGAGCTCCACGCTTAGCAAGAGCATTGCAGGGGAATGATTCGGAATGACATGGAATGACTACTCGCAGACCGCTTCAGAACGGCTTTTCGAGCTCAAAGGTGTACCAGTTCTCACAGCCATCATCAGATTTTGCAGTTGTGCCCCTCCCAGATGGTTGCAGATGACAGAAATGAATAGAAGTTCTTTGGAGATGCCGATGTACCACGTGCATTTATTCGTGGCTACGCGTGCGATCGAGGTGGAAGCTCCGTTGGAAATCCCAACTCCCAGGGTGGCAACCTGAATCGGAACTGACTGATTCGGAGATGGGGATATCACGGGGCTCCATGGTATACGCGAGGTGTCACGAGATTGTCAATCTATGTCAGCTCAGGCGGAGGTTGGCGGCCTGGCGTACATCGACGTGTGGGCACCTTAGTGCGGGGACCGCGCCCACAAATGTTTCTGGAATGTTTGCGTATGTTTGCGTGGCTTTCGAAGCCCTGCTCAGGTGCACTGAGCTAGTGCTCGATGGCACCCAGTCATCTGGCCACGGCTCGCCGGATCACAATGTTGTTTACTGTTTGGTTTTGCATAAGGACTTTATTCTCGATTTGCGACATGACTCGTGACCGCTTCTGGAGGCTTTCGGGGTGCCTTCACATGGGCACTTAGCTCCACAACGCCGCAAAAGCGGGGACGCCAAGCATTGTGCAGATGAGTGGGTAGCAAAATGTAGCAAATTGGCAAATCGTCATGGCATAGACTCGGGCGCTTTATGCCTCTGGGGCAGCCAGGTAGTTACAGGTAGTTTCGATCACGGTGAGTACGGGGGGGGGGGGGGAGGTTGGTCTCTATCGTCTGTGTGCCTAAGGGAATCGAACTTTGTGACTTTGTGCTCGCAAGTTGATTCCCAGAGCCCTCATAGCTTGCAAGGTTGGAGAGTAATTGAGACAGCACCTTTAGCTTGAAGATGAGCCGGTCCCCACGAGGCCAGAGCCTCACATCCGCCAGCTGCAAAATGTGTTGGAGTCAGCGATGGCTGCCGAAGCTCCTGCCATTCCCCCAGAGCACAGCAGTAGCAAAGCGGAGGTAAGGCTGGAGATGGCTGGAGTCAGAGTAGCGGCAAGGGCAGCTGCTCACACAGACAAGATTCATATCACTTGTCTGCCAGTCAGGCCACGCCATGGTTGTAGTAGGACAGTGTTCAGGTGGCAGCACAAGTCATTCGCATCCCGGCGTATCTCATGCAAGGAGACACCCTGTGCGCCTCCATAGTACAATGTGCTTGGAGGGGAACACTGGCAATCGCTTTGACGGCCAGGTACAACTTCTCATTAACCGTCTCAAACTCAGCTTAGACTCAGCTTGCAAGCGTGGTTTCATGTGCAGTCCATGCGACCTGGATCTGCAGGTGCAATCCTTTTGGAACCCAGCTCTCTCAGACACAATATATTACAGCTCAGTCCTCGGATGGCAAGTTGACCAAAAAAAAAAGTGCGCCAACACGCAGGCCCAATGGCTTGTGTCCGGTGTCCAAGGTGTGACGGTGTCGCCGCTGCCTGTTCCACCGATGGCCGGACAGTAGTGTGATCTGCCTTGCCGGTCCTTGCAGTTTATATGGACTTTTGCTGCTGGTGCTGCGCGTTGCAGGTGATATATGGCTCGTTTTCACGGCAGCTGAAGGTGCCCAAGTGGAGTGGGTGGAAAAGGGATTTGCTATCCTTCGGCTGAACGACGTCTTCTGGTTCGAAGGTGGAGAGTTCGCTGAGTCTGGTGTCGGAGATCTTCCTGGAAGGGCACGCCACTTACAGTACATTAGAAGAGACACGAAGAGACAATGTTGAGTTGACACTGGGCTTTGCCTTGACTGAAGGTGTGCCGAAGCATTGGGGCGTGGTGCAGTACAGTACACTTGGGCGGCTTGCAAGAGGCGGCATACGACAGCAATCAGAACGATCGGTGGTGACGGTGTTTTTGTCATCATCGTGAATGTGCCGTTCCTGCAATGGTCCAGGGTTTTTAGGCTTGAGGGTTTCGAAGGTTTAGGCGGCTTCAAAGATGTTCAACATGTTCTGCTTTTCTGGCTTCTTTGGGCTTCGGCTTTAGGCTTCAGGGTTTACTCTTTGGGGTTCCGTGTTTAGCTTTAAGGGTTTGTGGTTTCGGGTTTCGTGTTTTGCTGCTTTTCCCGCCAGGTATTATCTTGATTTTGATGCTTATATGGCTTTCAGGGCTGAGGTGTTTATGGCTTGTAGGGGGTGTTGGCGTTTAGGGTTTTTTGGCGGTCATTGTCCCAATCCGCTTGTGAGCGAATCCGCCGTGTCAGTGCGCGAATCCCGCATGCGCGAAGGCGCCGTCCAGCGCGTATCAGTCCGCGAACCCATCGGTGCGCGACGCAGCGTTCCGTGCGCGAACCCGCGGTGCGCGAGTCAGTATTTCAGTCCGCAAATCTGGTCTGTCCGGTGCGCAAATCGCTTTCCTGCAATGTCATGGGCAAGGCCTTCATCTTGCCACGCCATTCTGTGTTCGAATGCATTCTGTCGAGGTGAAGGGTGTATAGTTGGGTTATGTTGGGTTGGCATGTTTTAGGCTGAGCTGTGGTTTTGGGTGAGGCAACAGTCTTTCGTTCCAAACAGATAGTTTGACTTCGGAGTGGCTTTGTTATCATGGGGGCTTGGGTGGGCGCAGCCACCCGCCTCCACCACCCACTCCACCATCCCCTCCACCACCCACTCCATGTTTGGGCCTTCATTAAGGCTCCCTTCTGTCACCCCTTGCACCCCCCTCCCCTTTATTTCGCTAGCTGCACTAGGCACTAGCTGACTAGCTGAAGCAAATCGCCATGAGCCACACAACGTCCGCGTCGGCACATTCATCCATCTGCTTTCTCAGGCAACAGAGTTGTTGTTTGCTCTCCTGCTTTTACCGCACCCACTGCCTGCGTGCAGCGCGGTAGAAGAACAAACAAACACGGGTGCGGGAGAGGCCGCTTGTTTTGTTTGTCTCCCGGTGTGCAGGTTGGGGCTAGGGAAGAAAGGACGCGTTGTTTGTTTCGCTCCCGCCCGGCGAGTGAGACGCGGGAGCACAAAAGCATAACTGTTGTTTGGCTACGCTCCTGCTCGAGCCGGGGTGTGGAGGGGGGTGCTGCCACGGGAGAGAACCAAATTGTGTAGTGCGCGCTGGACTCGATTGCAAAGCGTCCGCGCAACTTTCATAGATCTCGCACCTGACTTGACGCAGGTCGGACGCTGTGCTGCTGCCAATGCCTCAAGTTAGTACATGTTTAGAAGGGAGGCCGTGCGAAGGGAGAGCATATCTAGCGATTCATTACCCAGGCAAGGCAGCATACTGGGCTGCACCTCGCCCGGCCCCTGGATTGCCAGCCTTTTTGACTCGAGGAAAGTGCCTACGCGTCGTTTGCATGTGCCACTTCAAGGTGGGGAGCTGGCATCGATCTCACGTCTGTGTCCGGGTTCTTCTCCCGTTCCTTGTACGTGCAGATCTCAGAATCGGTCTAGAAGCAAGCTGAAGATGGTTGAATGTGGTCTTCACTTCTGCCTCTTAGCCGCTTGTCGCCATGTGTACAATTTGCGAAGGTCAAGCCCTTTGCACTGGAGCCGCTTGAGACCTACATCTTCACCATATCGGGCGAGGCACACCTTGCTTCAGTTTGCTCGTTTTCCACACCGTGTCGGTGAGGCACTTGGGGCAAAGCACAGAACGAATGCATCTCCATTCCTTTCACTCCATTCCCCCTTCCCTTCCCTTCCCCTTCCCCTCCCCTTCCCTTCCCTTCCCTTCCCTTCCGATTCCATTCCATTCCATCAGATTTGTGAGAGCAGGTCAATGTCAGCAATGGTACGGCCGATCTGACGCTTCAGAACGTTGTGAGTGCAGAAGTTGAAGTGGTGCTCCGGGTTCAAAAGGCGTTTGAAGATGCATGAGGATGCTGAACATGCTGAAAAAAGCCTGTGTCGCGAAGGTACTTGGCGACCTCCTGATCAACTACTATGGCGGGACTGGCTTTTCATCTCGGAGGCCACATGCTTCCACTTCGCAGGTCAAGCATTGACAGCGTTGCATGGTACAGTCTCACCTTCAAGTGGCGAACATCTCAATATCGCACGTCATGCTTCGCATGGTCGATGCATGGTCGACATGTGACCAGGGATCGTGCGATTGTTGTGGATTTCACGGAGTCACTGGATTACTCCGACCCTGCAGCTGGCTTACTTACCTTGCCACACTGCGCAGGTGATTGCGCACGGGTAGGAGTCGAGTCAATTGCGTATTCAGGCTGCAGAGCTTGCAACGACAGCCCCGGCCGCAGCCATGCGACTTGCACTGGTGAATCTGTGACGCATCGGGCTTCCCGCAGCATGCCACTTACGCAATGCGACATGTGCTCTCAGACCTACACCTACAGCTGCCAGAAGGAAGGTTTTGACCCCAGTGAGTGGTTGCCAGTGGTGGCAGAACCCGTGTATTCCAGTGTATGGGGGCACGTCGAGGTCCGCACTTTTTGGAAGCATTTTGACGCAGGGACTTGCGCGCAGCCAGGGGCTCAAGCTGTGCTCCTCTGCCTGGCGCCAGGCTCGGAGCAGGCCGAGAGCCCCCCAAAACATCCCAGAACCTTCTCCATGTTAGGTGCTTTTGGGGATTTTGTGGTCAAGTGCCTCCAGACTGCTTGCAGGGAAAGATGGAATCTGATAAAGCTCCAGCGCCAAAGAAGCGAAAAACAGAGGCCTTGGGTCAAAACATCTGTGCTGCGATCGTGGCTGATCTGTTCTGGCTCACTGCGTCGCAGGACCCAGGGAATCTGGATGTAGATGCGGTCCTGGACCAGCTCCTATATGTTCGGAAGAGGACCTGGGCTAGGGGTGGTCGATCTTCAATGAGGAACGACCACAATTGCCGTGCATTTTTTCCTTTACATGCATGTGAAGACAAGGAAAGAACGGCATACTCTGCTCCAACATCATTATCGCCCGCGATTTCTTTGATCTTTTTCTTCCAGTTTTCTCTCTCTATCTCTCTCTGTCTCTTTCTTTCTCTCCCTCTCACACTCTCTCCCTCACTCTGTTTGTATCTCTCCCTCCCTCTGTTTGTATCTCTCGCTCGTCTTCGCTGGCAAAAGTAGGCCCTTTTCGTCTCGCTATTCCTGTCGCACGTCCTGAAATTCTTGAGAGAACGCCTTAAGCAAGATCATGAATGTTTTTATTCCTCACATCATGGCGTGCGTCGCTTTTGGGCGACCGGAATTCCGTGCCTGCGAAACCCTCGCAAATATCGTGGGCTTCCGTGCTTGCGATGTCCTTGCAAAAAATACCGTGGGACTGGAATGTTCTTGCAATGCTTGGTGGTGCAGGACCAGGATGCATGGACTACGAACTAGGTGAGAGTTTCAGATCAAATTAGCCAAGGAAATTTTGTGAACAGAGGTGGCCAACACAGCGGAAGAAGCACGCCTTGGATGGTAGTAGAGGGGTCCCAGTCGATTCACGCGTGTAGAGCCAAGCAACACGCAGAAGGAAGTCGCAGAAGAACATTAAAAAGAGTGTAAGGGCCCCTAAATAACACACCAAAAGAATGGGGCCCTTTGAATGTATTACGTTCAAACTGTCTTGTGCTCAAAAGACCCAGCGAATCTCAGTAGTTTTTGTAGATCTTTCAGGCCTTTTAATTGTATTAGTTCACTCGCGGCCGTTTCGCTTACGTTAAGCTGTATAATTCGTATTATTGCAGAATACCGGGGGCTCAATATAATATACGAATAAAGTGTCCCGGAATAATATTAACGGAGTGCAGGGATTATTTGCGAGGGCTTTGCAAGCACGGGCTTCCAACCCCATGAGATTGGCCTGGTGTTGCCCGAGAGATTCTGATTGACAACGACGAAGAGTGCTACATAGACCACATGCCTCTCTTCTTGCAGCATCTTCAGAGGGTATATAACGGTATATATCTCATACTTGGAGTTCTCGAAGAAATTCGCTACGCAGGGTGGCCCATTCTTGCGACACCTGCGGCATTTCAGGATCGGACGCTGCACTCAGAAAAAGCCAAGAGCTCCATTGCCAAACGCCCTATCCTCCAAAAAAGACTTCATTCGGTCCCGACGGAAAGTGCCTTTCAATCGGTGGTCGTCCTAACTCTCAGATTGTTCTGCTCGTAGTAGTCGGCTGGGCCCACACGACATGTTTAGCCGTTTTGTGTCTAAGATTCTCCGTCGCTGTAGCTGTTTCTACACCTTTTTTAGGTGTAACTGTCTACTATAAGACGCGTTCGTTCCGCTGGCATCGTGCAAAGCGTCCGCACCGAGCGTCGTATTGCTTACATGAATTGCTTCTGAACCCTCCCGCGCCCTTGCGAACCTTCGCATGTTAGGTGCCATTCCATCCTGTAATCGGTCATGCACAGTTGGTATTTAATCTGCGCTGCCTCCGGTCTCTGTTGTTGTCTTTGCCTATCCTTCCATCTTCATAATTTGTATTGATTTGCAGCTGAAGCCTCGCTGTGACACCTGTGACTCACCTCCACTTGTCCAGGAGTCCAGCGGGTCAGATCGTCAATTTGCTGGAGGCCCGCGTGCAGTGCATGGAAAACGAGAGACATGCTTGTGGTTCGCCATGCTTTGAGCGTGGCCGTGCCAGGAAATCGTGACAAATTTGTGCGTTGCGGCGATGCAAATATTTCGTGATCAGCCGATGCTTCTGGACCTGGATGCCTTGAACTCACTTGCTTTGGCTGTGGCTCTGGCAAGTGCAGACATTGGATATTGGAGTTTGTTTCAGCTAAGTCGCCGCTGCACCTTTGCGGAGATGTGCATGGACAGTACCTGGTCTCGATTTGGCCAAGTGTTAGCATACTGAAATAAGCCCTAAAAGCTTTATCTCTTGTGTGGCGCAAAACTCCTTGCGGACGAGGTATCACGACCTCCTCCGAATCTTCGACGCGATCGGCTATCCACCCCAGGCTAACTCACGCAATCGCTGCAAGCGGCAAGCCAAGTGCTTTGAAGTCAGGCAAACTACCTCTTCCTGGGTGACTACGTAGACCGTGGCAAGCGAAGCTTAGAAACGATTTGCCTGCTTTTTGCATACAAGGCCGCAGCTGATCAGAATCGTGCGTCTAGTGCTGATGCGCTTGTAGCCGCGCAGTTGTTCACCAGATGTGCTTGTCAGATCAAGTTTCCAGAGAACTTCTTTCTCCTTCGTGGAAACCATGAGTCGCCATCGATCTGCAGGACCTGCTTAAAGCAAGGCAAGGCGCACTGTGGCATACAATTCAGAAAGCGCACCTGTGCAGGATCTATGGCTTCTACGATGAAGTCAAGCAGAGATACACCACAAAGATTTGGAAGGGATTTTGCAACCTGGTTCTGTCAACATGAAGAGAGAAAGCTCCCAGTTTTTCGCAGTTGACATACGTGGCATATGGTCACCTCGTGATTGACAGTTGTGGAGTTCAGGCGATGTCTTCAATTACATGCCGGCTTGTGCCATAATCGCCGACAAGGCAGGTGAAGCATCGGGCCGCCTCAGCCTGTATGGAGGAACCATGTCGTAAACCGTATCCTGCACTCCCTCACTGACAAAAATCCTGTGGCAATGTTGGAGTTGCCCGGGCAGGTGATTTGTATGCACGGTGGATTGTCGCAAGAAATGATGGACGCTAGCGTCGACTTGAGAAGCAAGGTCAACGAAATCTCGAGGCAATGCTCGCAGAACAGCCATGACGCCATGACGTGTCTGTTTTCCAGAACATCGATGCACATGATAGTCGAGATGTATGTGACTTGTGGCTTACAAGTTTTAGGACATGTTTACATCCGAGTTGGGAGGCCCGCAGACATTCCGGACTCTGGATTCCTTTGTGACCTTTTGTGGTCGGATCCATCGGAGGCCATCAACGAACGTTCAAATCTGCTCTGCATGCAAATACACCGATGAGCTTTGCAGGCTACTCAAGGCTTTGGACAAAATGACCGCGGTGTGTCAGTTTCATTTGGCGCGCAAGTGGTGCAGCAATTCCTCAGAACGCATGACCTCGACTTGCAGCTTGGTGGCAGATTCCCCAGCCCACGAGACGTTTTAGGATGTCAGCGACATCAGCCCAGAAACGACTGCATCCAAGGATTGTCAGGGCGCATCAGGCAGGACTTTCATGTAGACTTGCGCATGTAGCGATGGTACGCTGTTGATCTGGGTGCTCTGCTAGCGTGAGCAACGCTGAGAGGATGGGCCTGGCGGGTAAGCAGAAAACAGGAACCCTCGGCACACCTCACGAAGTGGCGGGGGGGGGGGGGGGAGACCTAGCAGGTCATTCTAAGAGGCATCTAGCTTCTGAGCTCTTGCGGGTGCAAAAATTGAACAAGCTCCGTCAGCAAAAGCAGAGCGGGGATTTGACCCATATCGCGATCTTGCATGTGCCATGGTTTTGAGATCAGCTGAACGGAGAGATGTTCGAGCAGGTGGTCGAGGACGGGTACGAGTTCTTCTCGGACCGAGGATTAGATTCTTGACAGCATGTTTTTCCGCACTGCGTGGGGTGCTGTGTGTGGTCTAGTGTTGCCCATGCTTTCTGACCATTTGCACAAGCTGCTTGGCGGAAACCGTCTGTGCAGAGGTAACTATCTTCTCGGCACCAAACTACTGTGGAGAGTTCGACAATGCTGCCGCGGTGCATTGTCTCGACTGAAGTGTTTGAATTGTTGCATTCTCTCGAGTCTACCTGCGTGGCATACACTGTTTTGCGTGAGGGGGGGGGGGGGGGTTGGGAGGCACAAAGCCCTTTCTTCCGAAAGGTGCTTTCCATTGACGACGATTTGACCTGTGCCTTCTCTGCCTGGTCCTTTACTTGCTGCCAGCAAAGCGCGTCAATCGTCCGAGTGGGACGTCTGGCTGCTGAGGTCCTCAAACCATCAGTGGCTGCACCGATGTGATGAGGGGCTGCCGCATTCACGAATTGAGTGCCGCCCGGAGAGCCGCCTGGATTTTGACAGTTCTTTTGTCTGTGTGTGTGACGCACATTAGCGAAGCTGGCATTGCTTGCAAAGCAAATTTGGAGTGTGTCATGACAAAGGCAAGCCACCTTCATGACCGCATGGGAAGCTTGAACCGGTAGAGGCAAATTCCGCAGGAGCGCGCTTTCGTGCATTTGGCCATCAGGAAGAGGTACCCTAACAGGCACAATCGTTTTGTGAACCTTAGGCAGGTATTCGCGTGCTGTCGACTTGCTAACCCTCAGGCCAAATCCACGAACGCCTGCAGTGTTTTCACGGTGTTCTCACTGCAGTAGGACGTAGGCATGGTGAGCTGGGCACCACTTAAGCCCCGCTGAAATTGCTCACAGTGGCGAGGCGTTGGTTACCCCCTGTAGACAGCGACTGATGTCGCAGTGCTACCGTGGGAGTGAGACCTTTATTGGGGCAGGGCCGGGACGGCGAACGCAACAGTATTGCAGAGAAGCTCTTCAGAAGTGAACGTCATTAAGCCGTCATGTGGTCAAGCGCTGGAGTCTGGCAAATGCCTTGGTCTCCTAGGCGAGGACGTACAGAGCTGAATCAGACATGGGGCCGAAAATAAGTGCTCTTGCAACTGTTGTTTAGTTACTCCAGGCATCAGGCGAGCAAGAGCTGGTGAGCATAAAGTAGCCGGATGTGACTGAGGCACACAAAATCCCTGCTTCGCGTCGCAGGCTGCTGTTTTGCTGCTGGAGGTCTGTCACGTAGTGGAAAGTTGAGCAGCTTGAGTTGCAGGGTTCTTCAACTCAGCTGGTGTCACTCTCAGTTTGTACTCCGTGCAGTCCATGGAACTCCCAATCTGCTCATGACACAGTTCGCCGACGCGTGCGTGGATGTGGAAGACCCACTTTCACCGGGCCAATCGATGAAGTTCACATACCGGGATAAGGCCCGGGCCTGTTGGGGGCGGCATTGGGCGGCATTGGGCAGGTGCAGAGTAGAGTAGCGCCCCAGCTGGGCAGGACTACAACCAAGCTGATGGCATCAGCCTTCCGCCGTATTCAAACGTTGTCGGCTTGGAGCTACCCCTGCCTACCACTGCATAGCATGCTACATCGTGCTTCAACATTTGAACAGTGTCACCGGGCATGCTGGAAGACTCCTGCCCAGGTCGTGCAGCATTGCAAGAGCGCCCCCACGACCTTTGCACACCTGCCCTGCTTACCAACCTGAGCATGCGAAGCACAAGCAGCGCTAGCTGCATCAGCTTGCACAGAAGACAGCTGACCTGGCAGATATTCCAGCCAAACCTTTTTGCAACGGGCAATTATGTCTTCGTGCAGATCTTGGTAGCCTTGCCCGGCCTTTGGCAGTGCTTGACGTGTGCTTGAAGTGCTTGTGGCTCAGGTCGTCAACGCATCAAAGGTTGTGATGGGCGCTGAAAGGGTCGATTCGGGCAGCAAGGAGCCAAGACGATCAACTGTACTGACTTTCTGTGAAACATCCGTGTGTCCTCCCAAGGTCTTTACATCACTGTGCAGGCAGATACGGAAGTTGACCCCGAAAGGCCTGACTTCTGAGCTGGCTTTGCGTTGGCCAAGTGTTGACCAGTCGAGCTCGTGGTGCGGACATTGCGCAGTGCAGAAGACAGGACTCCGTTGGTTGCGGTGTTCCTTGAAAGTAAAGGTCTTGGATGCAACTGCTTGCTGCTGGCACCTCTAAGCCCTATTTCATGCTTCACATTGCTCAGGTCCCCAGCCGATATTTGCGGGCTCCACGCTGCGGTTGCGTGGGGAGGCCTTCACGAATTTGACAGGTTGCATGTATGCATTCTGCATGCATTCTGCATGCATTCTGCATGCATTCTGCATGCATTCTGCATGCATTCTGCATGCATTCTCATCACTGCATTGTGTGGCAGATCACCAACCCTCAGAACGACACGACTTATTCCTTCCAATGGACGGTGGCACCCCGAGTCCCAAAGTCACCAACAGCGTGCCTGCAATATCACGATGCTGGCCAGATGGGCCAGATGGAAAATCAGGCATACCGATATGGCCTCAATCCTGACTACGACGCGGAAGCTGGATCTTTTGATCCTCTCTATGCCATTCCACAATATTCCTGGGCAGAGTTCTCAGAAGTGTCCAAGGGATCTGAACAAGGTGCATCGCACGAGTCTGCGCGTGGATTTTCGCTCAGGTCGAGCTGTCACCGGTCGACTTCAATGCTAGCGATCTAAGCCAGGCCGTCAAACACACGCTGCTCTACTTGGTCTGACTCAGTGCGGAAGTTTCAGCAACTCAAGTTTTTTTGTGGCGAAGAGTAGGCTTGGACACTGAGGCCAGATGTAAAGTGATGTTGCGATGCCCCGGAAGTTCCATAGCATGGATTTCGGTCTCTGGCCCCTGCACAGGGCATTCTAATCAGCCGACTCATGCAACAGCAAGATCCGCGCAACTCCTGACGCGTTTGTTTTTTGTGCTACTTCGGGCGTGCACGTCGGCGGTCCTAGCGGTGTGCCTTGCTGCAGATACGGAAAGTGACCGTGGGTGGAGGAAGAGAAGCCCAAGATCAGCTGACCCATAAAGACTCATCCTCCCTTGAACCCACAGCATAAGTGAGCCTGGGGAACGCACAGCCTTGCCTTGCTGTGCTTGCCTTGAGTAGCAAAGCAGCAGGCTGTGCAAAGACCTACTTGTTGTCTGCGTGCCTGCGCTGCTGGCCAATTGAAACTTGGGTATAGTCTCCGGGGGTTTGCTGCCAAGTGAAGCTGATTGGGTTGGCCAGTGGGAGGGATTTGGGACGCGGGGACGGGGAAGATCCTGGTCTGCCAGGGCAAACTGAGTTCTAACTGGACGAGGTGAACCTAGTGCGTACACTCAATCAAAAATGAATCGTACTCTCTTGGCTCACTAACTGTTTCTTCTTTCTTGTTTTTTTTGCAATTTCTAAAGAGAGGGGAAACCCAGTTCACAAAACCATACGCTTTTCATCCAACTAGTTCATTTGCTCACATGACGAATGCCTTTCAAAATGTATCTCATAAGCAGCCAGACTCTGAGAAAGGAATGCTGCAAGAGCCAGTAAAATTAACTAAGCAGATTCTGCAGAAGAGAGCTACGGAGAATTCTTGCTTCTTTGTTGAGAGCCCAAAACTAGCCTTCAACGTGAAAGCCCTCCTCTGCTTGGGCGATCGAGTTGAGGCCTCGAAATCTTCAGAAAAACTTACAGAGCTTTCTAGTAACTCTACTAGCGGCAGCCTCCGACAATGTGGTCGTTTGTGGGGCCTGCACGCCGAAGCACAGCGAGATCGGAGGGAGAGACGGACAGAGGAACCACAAGACGAAGAGTCTGGCGTGCTGTTGCAACAGATGGAGGTGCGCACACCACCGGATTCGCGCTTCCTAGTCGTGTCGCCCAACGTGCTTATCGCCGGGCTGCAGCCTGGCGGGCAAGAGCAAGGTTAGAAGCCACGCCTGACGTTTATGGACAGCTCAGGCGCTACAGGATGCGGATCTCGGCCAGCGTAGCATGCTTCATCAGCGTTTTCATTGGCTTGAAGATCTGTTGTAACTCTGGGAGTCTGGGAGAAGATGCATCGCGCCAGGTGCTGGATGCATACATGTTCTCCCAAGGAATTGAGGACCCGCTCAGCACTGCAGACGTGCATACTGTCAGGTTATGCTCCTGGTCTGAGTCCTTCCTTTTCAGGACTATTTGGGCTTTGCGGAGTACACCTTCGTTTGCGCAGGCTTCTGGATGATACCCTTGCCATTTATCATGCCTGCATGATTCCACTTGATCAAGTACTGCAAGCAGCCACTTGCCGATAGACTCGTTCATGAAAAACCGTGCAAGTCTAATAGCTGGCCTTGACAGACGCCCCAAAATGAGCAATGCTATCCTTTGCCTTTGCAGCAGGTCTGCCACCATCAGGAGGTGAACTGATAGCATGGGTCTCAACAAAATTCGGGTTTTTGGCAGGACAGCTGTGCGGATGTTGCTGTGCTTATGCTGAGGACACTTCATGGTAAGTCGGGGTGGGGGGGGGGGGGGGGGGGGACCTTTTGAGTCTTGAGGTCTCGAATATTTCTGGCACAGCTCTGCAGACCGTGCCGAGCTTATCTATGCCATGATTGGCTGCAGTGACCTTGCAGTTCGGACGAAACTCGCGCGTGGTGCGGGCAAGGAGTTTGTCTTCACCATGGACGGGTTCGGAAGTGAGGATTTACCTTTGCCTTGGCCTCAGTGACTGACATTCAATTGCAGCCCCCAGGGGCATAAGCCAAGGACATACCGCTTCAGCTACATCCAAAACTACGAGATGCCTTTTGCTGGTGGCCCAGCATGCCCGGACTGAAAAGTTCCAGAGACTGGAATTGTGTCTTCATTGTTCATGGATGGTTTGGGAAGATACTTCGGGAAGTTGTGCTGCACCTTCCGCCTGGCATGAAAGTTTGTTTAAATGAAAGGGCGGTAAAATATGTTTTTTAACGCTCGGAAAAAGTTGTGGTTCTTACTGTCGGGGACTGTTTCAGAACCCCTGAAAAGTCGCCGTGTCCTGATTTCGCTGGTACGGAAGTGTTGCATGAACGGTCCGAATGGGTGATGCCCTCATGTTGGCACTGGCATGGCCACCGGTTCTATCTGGTTCTGATGCAGTTTGTAGGCGTCGGGTTTGCCTAGCGCCTAGAGGGAGCGGCCAATTGTAATACGTATGATGACATACAGCGTTACAGCATACAGCGAGTTCGGCGGTCATGGTGGTGGCACCGAAAAGGCTGAAGCTGTGGAGCTCAACATCGCGTTCACTGAGCAGAACTTCATCAAGACCAGGTTGCTGGATATGCTCGATATTTCTGGTCATTGGTTTCTAGTGCGGCCATTGCCGATCATTGCCAAACATTGCTGATTTTTGCACACCAGCAGGCTGCCCGAGGGCCTGGTCGGAAGTCAAAACCTGCTGAGAGTTGCGCAGGGCCAAGCTTTCATCAACCGAGTTTTTTCTGGCCTCAAATGGCCGCTGTTGCAGATTGGAACGGTTAGAAGTTCGCGGGGAGCAACAGCGTCGGACTCCCAGGAAGTCTTGGGCAGAAGTCTACTCAGGATCCAGTGGATACGAGCCCCAAAGCACACGTTTTGCAACGTTGCACAATGTTGCAAAATGTTGGCTGAGGCAAGCTATGGTCGACGTCTCCGTGAGTCCACCTGGGCAGCAGGCCATCACGGACATCGTGGAGCAGGCTCCGCCCCTCTCTCCCCGCCTCTCAGAGTCTCAACTCTTCTCACAACTCTTCTCACAGTTTATGAAATTTCATGAATCATGATCTCATGTGGTCGAGTGTGGCCTGCTCTTGGTGTCTGCTACTACTGGTCAGTGCTTTTGCATCAAGGTACCACTGGTCGATCCGGAGACCGCTGTTTTCTTCACCACGCTGTTCCTGGTCATGAAAAGAACTAATTCCATTTTCATTGGTTAGCCAGCTTGTCCCTATATCTCAATGGAACCAATTGACTCGCTGCCGGCCATGTCATACATTCACGGTCTCTCTAGTGAAGCATAATCTGTGACATTGCGCTCAGGCTGGCCGACACTGAGGCCTGCTGGTTTGGAATGGCTTTCAAGGTTGGGCTCCAGTCGTGTCAGCAAGCATGCAGGCGGCGTCTGATGCGGACGTCAGCAATGCTTTGCAGGTGCTGTGATGCTTTGAGCGTTGTTGCACCGGCCTACTCGTCGACATTCGCCAGTGTTGGCAACGGATGAGGTTACTTATGACAAGATGTTCGTGAAGGGCCCAGCTGCCAGTTAATTCAAGTGGATAAGGTGGCTTGGAGCTTGGAGCGTGCCAGGGCCAAGGGTTGTCTGTCGTGCAGGGCAGTGCACGAGCAATTGCTGCCACTCCAGAGGCTGGCTCCGCTCACAGCAACTTGCCGCATCTTGCCACGCTTCTGCTCCATGCTGCGTCCTGCGCTTGCCTCTTGCTCACCTCTGCAGCAGTAATTCTGCAGTAGCTCTCTATGTTCCCAGTGGCGCAGAACTCTGTAAGTGTTCATGTTAGTGGGCAGTCTTCTAGATGGCGAGAAATTCTCGAGCAATCCAGGCCTTCAATCCTCCGGCATTTGCAGGCCCTAGGGTCTACCCTAGAGATGGAATTCAAAGCACGCTGGGTTCAGGATTCTACTTACAAAGCCACCGACACGTGTGTCATTTCTTCTCGGGTGGGATGCCGACGGGATGCCATTGCCCATGACATGATGACATGATGACATGGGCAGAAAAGCGCGACGAACAGCGAAGGCGCAAGCCAAAGCTGCTGCCAAAAGGGTCAAGAGTGACAGATGGCGGAAAGACTGGCAGGATTCAGAAGCAATCTGCAACTTCACGGCCGGATGCTGGACCGGCCAGGAGTTCTCAGCACCGTCAGCTACAAACAACCTGGGCGGCATCTGCGGCCACTGCATTGTGGCAGCCGGGGAGCGGATCTGGTGCCTCGGCGGCTGGCGGGAGGAACGTGAAGACCGTGAGGCACGTGCACCTTCGCGGTCTCGAAGAATGTCAGTTTGGGAGCTTCGCCTCGAGTCCAAGTCCTGGATGGATGTGACCCCCGATGGCGACGGCGACGGCTTCCCGTGCTGGAGATGGGGACACTCGAGCTGCTTGGTTCCAGGCAGAAGCAGACCCAGCAGATCACAGACAAAGCTCTGGCTTGCTGGGGGCTTCAACAGCCACTGCAATCTCAATGATGTTTGGCGCTTCTGCCCCAAGGAGGGCACATTCTCAACGGTGGCCTCAGAAGTGTGCAACCTGCCCTACCACGCGGCTTACCATTCATTGGTCTTTGACGATGTGGCACAACAGCTGTTTCTGTTTGGTGGTCAGTGCTGCGTGGGAGGACCCTATCGTTTTTTTGATTGTGGCTTGTTCTGCACAGAGACTACAGTAGCGTAGCAGATGTTTGCAGCATCTGCAGGTCTGCCCGTGCCAGTTCGTTTGAGAAATTTTGAGAACAAATGACTTCCGACAACCCAAGGCGTGATCACTCATCAGCTGCTGCGCCCAATGTCTGGCTGGCAGGCCGGTGGCAGAAAATGCGGAGTTCAGTAGTGACTGAGCAATCATTGCAGATTGTGGAATGTCTATAGCGGGGCGGGCTGTTCAGAGTCCTCCAACAGTGCAAGCGGATCTGGCGAGAATGTGCAGGTGGTGCGTGTACAAGGACCGCGCCCAGCGGCACGAGCTCAACATGCAGCAGTGCCACAGCTGACATCTGAAAGCAGAGCTGTCACAGCATGACATCAGCATGACACATCATGACAACGTGCCTCCGCCGTGCTGCGCAGGTGATGACCATGTCTGGGCTCATGGTTGTCTACGGTGGCGGAAACACGACTCGAACCTTCCGAGACGTGGGCCTGCCCAGTACCGTTAAGAACGAAGCGAACACGTGTCGGGCAATGTGCAAGGCAATGCCCGGGGCATAGTGGATTAGTGGCAAAAATGTGGTGATAGTGATCATATGACGTCAGGTCTGGACACTGCACCCCCGAAGCACAGCACCGTACTGGTCAGAGGTTGGGTTTGGGCCTGGGTGCCACCACGGGCCTGTGACCACCGGGTGCTGGGTGCTGTGATGTGCTGTGATGTGCTGTGACAGGTCAAGATATGCGGGCGCATCAGACCTTGGGTATCTTTGCAGCTGAAGCACCGAGATTTTCATGCCGCCCCTGTCACGCTTGTGGCACCTTTTCCACCTTATGCCCAACGACTGGAGCGTGCTGCTGCCTAAGAGGGCCTAACATGGTTGGACTGCCGCAGCCACTTCTGTCGACTGGGGGCTTGGCCAGCTTTGTCGTAGCACAGGAGGTTAAGTAGTCGGTGGTTGCGCAACACTGTTTTACGGCCCATCATTCTGCTGCCGCCTGCCATGCACGAGCCAGCTGACCTGCATCACGAGTCTTTTGCTTCCGCTGCTTGCCTTGAACTACTTGGATTACCGACTCAGCTTTCCACCGCAAGCAAAGCAACAAGAATCCCTGGCAGGTGCTGACCAAGCTTGTGGCTGCCCACGGCCGGGAACTGCAGGTACAACTCGATCAGGGTTGGTCATGGTCAGTCTGAGGATGATCTGTAACAGAAACTCCGGCAACCAGGATTGGTTCAAGGGTGGAAATTGTTCCCTCCTTTTTTCAGTTCACCTCATTTGGTTGGGGTTTATCAAGTTAAGGCATCAGGGTCTCCCGGTCTTGCGGCTTTTGAGATCTTTTGAGAAGGTTTGGGGCCACACAAACAGTTCACACCCCCAAATAGAAGACACAGAGCGCAACACAAAGGCCACCTCTTGAACCGCTGCCTTATTCTGGGGCTGCAGACTGCTGTTTGGAGTACTTTGTGGGGATTTAGGTACGGCTTAGGCTTCTGGTTTTGCTTCAACGACTGCTAGCTTCCCATCATGCAGATTTGGCAGGAACTCAGGGAGCGTTTCGAGGCCAAAGCTGGTCCGCTGGTCTCAGCACGATCTCTCCGAGAGGCTGTGCACCGATGCTCCTGTTCACGTCGTTTAACACTGACCTATTCCCTGCATCCAGGAGTCTGGCATTCATAGCTGTGGTGACATTGCAGAAGAGCTGGCACCAGATGAAGTAAATCTGTTTGCAAGCATGGGACAGAGGCTCAGCCGCAAGAAGGCGCACAGTCGGCAGCAGTCCTTGCGATTCAGGCATGTGTGTCGGCTCTTGCAGATAGCTGGCTGGAACCGTAGCTACATGGCCGGCACACCGAGTAAACGATCAGAGCTTGCACGGCAATAAGTCAATCTGAGTTCGTGTTGAAAGGGTGTTTTCATGTCACGAAAGCTAGCAACCTGATGGGTATACAGGGCCCCCGGAGGCTCCGCCACGAAACGCAGCAAACCCGGTCGGTTTCCGGGTGGCGAACACAGGTTTTGGGGAAACGGGCTGGCGTTCATTTCTTTCGTATATTGGGTGCAAATGAACGCCGTTTTCTGTGGATCCCAGGCCCTAGAAAAGCCCCCCAAGTCCCCCAAGAAAAGACTCAGAAGCCTTGATGTTGATTTGAGTCTGGCGTCCCTCAAAGCTGGATTGGACAGACTTCAGACTTCGCCTGGTGAGTGCAACATCTGTTGTGGTGTCATGCGCTTCAAAAAAGAGCCCTCCGGAAGATGCTAACAGAAAAGCCCCCGAAGAAAAGACTCAGAAGCCTTGATGTTGACTTGAGTCCGGCGTCCCTCAAAGCTGGATTGGACAGGTTCCCCTGGTGAGTGCAACATCTGTTGTGGTGTCATGTGTTTCAAAAAAGAGCCCTCCGGAAGATGCTAAAACACCGCAGAGCAAAGCAACACACCAACACATTGCCAGAAGGAATGCCACGTCAATATTGGCACCTGCGCCAGAAAAAAGGTGACACGACCTGCTGCCTTTGTGTGTGTGCTTGTCCTTCTGCGTAGTTGATGCCATGTTGACGGAAGCTCTTCCGTGGGGGTACCTTAACTAGCTTTCGTCCCAGGCCCTCACCCCCAAGTTTTGCATTTTTCTGGAGGACTCCACGTGACGGAGCAGCGATCCAACCTCTAGCTTCTCCTGCAAAGAACGAGTCTTGGGGCAGCTCGCCTGTGCTTTCCAGTATCGTTACTGGGTACATGGCTGATCCGTTTCCATGTGCCGCTCTTTGTACGCATTGCTCAACATCTTGATGTGATATGCATGTGATGTCGAGGACCCCGATCAGAGCCTCAGCCATTTGGTCTTCCGGCGTGGAGCGAGGCTCTGAAAGAATCTGCAGCGCCTGAAACCACAAACACGGCTGAGGGTGAAGATGTTGCCTGGCAGCATAGCAGGACCAAGCATCATTAGTGGTGATTGCCTGGGTTTCGGTACTGGTTCGACATTTGGGCTGCCAGCTTCTGCTTCGCTCACTGCAAAGGAGTCTTTGTGCAGGCGTACTCGCCTTTGTTACCTGTTGGGCAGGGAGGCAATATTTTAAAATGTCTCTCAATCTCCATGGTAGTCGCGGGTTAAGCCTTCAAGCTTAAGCATGCCTCAGCTGCGAGCTATAGAATTTGTGAAAGTATTGAATGCCTGAGGTATTTCTTGCACCTTCAGCACAAACTGATGAGCAGTTCGAGCCGTTTGTCTGCAAAGCTCCTGCATTTGCAGTTGCCTTGATGGAGGCAGAGTGGTGCACAATGAGCTCCCAAGTCTACGCAGAAATGTTAAGTACGCAGCATGACACAGCCGTGGGTGGGGTCGGGAAGAGGGAGAGGGCAGTGAATTGAGTAGCTGAGGCCTTGGCGCAGGACAAGGTCGAGGTCATCGGAGCGACAGGACGGAGAGTTGCTTGAATGGACTCTGAGGCTTGCTGAGCCTTGGCAGGAGAACAGAGTGGCAAGAATGAGACAGGCTGGAGCGCATTGCCTTTGTAGAATCAAGCTGCCTTGTTGCCTTGAGATTGTAACTTGCCAGCACAGGTTGATCAATCCTTCTAGCCATTGTAGTCGGAATGCAAGCGGTCACAGCTGATGCAAGACTCCTTGCAACCTGACTGGCTGCTTCTTCGCGCTTTGTCGGAGGCCATTGCTGAGCATCAAAGCCAAGTGAAAAAGGCAACAGCCGGAAGGAGCTCGAACATTGTTACATAGTCTTCTTCTTGCAAAATGCACTGCAGATCACTGTAGATTCCGGAGGCTGACTTGTCTGAAGTGCAGGATGCGGCGCTTTGGGTTGACCCAGTCCTTCAAGGTGGATTGTGCAGACGGCATCAGCTTAAAGTGCATCGTTCTGCCCGGGGCTCAATGTGTGTCACAGGCGCACGTGCTCGACATGTCTTGTTGCCTGGCTGAGGCATCCCATGTTTGACACGGTCGCTGCAGACGCTTGTCTAACACACCTCG